CTGCAAAGATGAACCTGATCAAATTCAGGAGCAGATGGATTATCGTCATGAATATTGATGAAGAGATCAGCCGTATCGCGACGAGTCGGATATCCATGATCGAATGCTTCAACGACTAAATGCAACTCTTCAGACTTCGATAATTTTTGCACCGTTACCAGTGATCCGCTTTGATAATCCAGCGAGAACATTGCTGAAAACATCATTTGGATGAATCAAATTTAATTGATGGATATGGACAAAAATTTTGAATAGGCAAACTGAAACGTGAAAAGAGCACTTGTTATTGAATCGATAAGCCTCGTCGAACGGAAGAAAGTGACATGATTCTGGAAGACTTTAGAAAGAAAAGTGGTGAAAGCTAACCAGAGGGTGTTTTCAGAGCATAACTTATATCAGCGTTGTTTCCCGAATCTGCATCAGTTGCAATGAAACGAGCAACTTCAGTGCCAACAGGAGTATCAATTGAAAGATCAACTGAATAAGAGGGTTGTTGAAACTGAGGACTATTGTCATTTTCATCGTTGACTGATACCGTCACCTTGCACGAACCACACGACGTTTTATTAGCTTGAAGACATGCTGACACCTGAAAGTGGATCCAAACTGGATTGAATTGTTTGCTCCAATTTATTTCAGCACAATTGTTTCTTCATATAATTATTTTCGAAACGTCTAAATTATATTTCGCTTAACGTCAAAAATGCTTCCTTGAAATGTACTTTCAGAACGAATGGTACAACCTGAATCCTGAATGAATTTCAGGATTTTCTACCAGATGACAGTGTATGAATGATACACGATTCAAAAATTCAAAGACCGTTGAGGAAAATTGTGCGATTTGTTCATTTTACTCTTTTTTAAGTGCAACTCATACTACCGCCTTGTTAATGAATTACAGTTGAGCCATTGATAGCTTCTCTTTCATAAAAGAAATCAATTGACAAGCATTGTGAACAATTGCTATTTGCTTGCATAAGCAATCGTCATAATTGTCGCATCATTGCACGTTACCTCATTCAATCAATGATAATTGCTCTAAACAACTGAAATTGGCTTTCGTATTGCAGGTGCACGATTTGGTTAATCCTAAGAGACACGCTATGCGATAATATACTTCGATAGAATAACAGACTGGGTTGCCAGTGTGACAGTTCGGTTCATCACTTATTCTGACTGAACGATGAATATATCAGAAGTTTTTTATGTGCTTCAAGGAAGTTTCCTAAAGAAACTGAATTTATTTGTGCGATATACGAGCAAACGATGGGAACTGTTAAAAGTGACCTCAAATCGATAGAATTGTTTCTGCTCGTAATCGAGTGCTTGCAGTGAACGTAACTCTCCAGTAGAACTATCAACTGAGAAGTATTCAGATTTTAAATTCAGATTGACAGAATCATCCAAAATGTCGTATACTATCGGATGATCGTCGTCTGCAAGTGGATGAAAAGCCTGAAATTAGCAAGTATCCTCTCAAAAATCTTGACCAGTTCTCTCCTTCTAAAAGTGTTAAAAGTACGCATTCATCATTTCATATTTACGAAAATGTTCGAAGTAGTTTTTCTTGAGCGATTTAATAAACGATAACAAACGAGCATTATCAACAATACTTGAACAGCTCCTGTATAAAGAAGTGATCTATCGCAGATCATATCATGAACAAGATTACCACCTATAGTTGATACTTCTCGAAACAGCTGATCTGAGCATCCCCTACCTTGTGGAACAGATTTCATACTTCATTGAAAAATGCTGATGAAATTCTCTTGACCAGCTCAGTAAACGCTAACAAACGAACAGTGTTTCATACAGCTCTAAGATAGCTCAATGGACGATCAAGAAGTAACCAAAATGCAACTCACATGTAATACGGTAATAGTTTGTGGTTCTGCATTTTCGTAAATTGCAAAGTTGTAGTCGTGTGCTTCAAAACGAGGCGGTAAATCCACAATTTCTGAGCTGTTCACTATAACGTCCACGAGCGTCGTTGCCTGAAAGATCTATACATTTTAGGAAACAATCAGTCACACTGCTTATGTGTTTGGGATCAATATTCACCAGCTAAAGTTCTCTTCAGTATTTCGAAAATTACTTGAAAAGTCGTTCGAATCACGACTCACATGAGTATCTTACTTGAAACACATTCTATTCCAGTAGACATTTAAAGAATGCTAGCGCACATTAAGTCCAAGCGTTTGAATGACCATAACATTAAAAACTGTACTTTGATGCAAGCTGGGCATATGATTTGAAATAACATTTGCTCTATTTTTTTATAAATTAATCGCTCATCTTGCCAGCAGCCACATAGCCTATATATCACGATATAATAGGTCTGGATTTGAATTTATGAAAAACAAATTTCGACCTATTATTTCGTGTAAAATTATCACGTTGATCGCTCATGATTTGTACGTACCACTTCACAGAGAGCGGTTCAAATCGTTCCTATTTTTCGGCCAACCACATCAATCAAATAGTGATCTAATTTCATCATGGCCTAGCCGAATCAGTGTTGAAATGAGAAAGTCACTTGACTAATCATCCAATGTTCTGTGGACATTTTTTCATAGCTAAGCAATTGCTAATCGGTTATGAAGTCTGCAGAAAGTTTTTTTATGCATCATGACACTGATGTATATTGATCTGGCTGGTCTACGGAAGTTTACGACAATAAA